ACCAACAGAATTAAACAAAGAGTCAAGGCACTCAGAATGGTGGTAGCTTTTTAAAAAAACATCTGCTCTGGTGGTAGGTTCTTTAAACATATTTTTAATATATTTATATATTTATAAGTTAGCCACTGAATGGGAAAGGTAATTGTGCACTGCGCTGCATAAGGTAAGCGGACTGAAATTTAACATTTTCTAAAAGTATGTATTACAGAAAAGGAAGAACTACCAGTGCTTGATCTCAGAGCATACACGGATCTTCCATTGATCAAACATCCAGTGATGTCACAATACTGAACTTTGATTTTGACTTCTCTTTACTCTCAACACTTTTACAAGCTTCCTGTGAGGTATCTCTAAAGGGTCATTTAGGATTAATAAATTGATCACTGTTTTGATGGTAAAGTGGTTTCTTGCCATAAAGTTCTTTAAAACATTAGTAGTGAATCAGAATACTAGGAAAGTTGGCCCTTTGTGAATGAAAATCAGTGACAGATGAGGTTGATAACCCTTGGCGCTAACATGCATTTTTCACCTAGTATTCTAAAAAGAAGCAGATGGTAACTTCCTAGAGACTATGCACGTTCCTTGGAGGAGGGAAATGAAATGAAACAACATTCCAGCATTGCAGTGGAGCATATAATTAGGCAATTAGAACTATTAAAAGCTGACAAGAAACAGGGTTTAGATGAACTTTCTCCTTAGGCTCCATTGTAGTAGCAGCTGTGATTGTCTAGGGAAAGGCTATTGGGTGCATAGAGTACTTACTTGCAGAGCAGACTTGGCTATATTTCAGGTTGCATTGGTTAAGCAGAGTTATCTTTTTTCCCCTGCCAACTCCACATAACAATGTTTAGTTTTCTAAGGGTCCAAGGCAAATATGATTTAATTTCTTTTCTTTTAAATTCTCCACAGTGACTTTATTCCACACAGTTCTTCATTTGATACCTGGATGCCATAAGGTGCCTAATCAGGAACTAATCACTTCCTGGTGGAAGCTTATTACATTTCACCAGTCTTTCTTGAAGAGAGGAACACTTGCATCATACTGTGAAAGAGAATACTTCTACTTGAAGGAAAATGTGTCTCATGAAATTATGAAGGTCCTGAACTTTCATTCCATTATGCTGGAGTAACTCCACTCTGCTGATATTAGAAAGTGGTGTCAAAGAATAAAGAGATGGAAGACTTCTTGGTGAATGTCTGAAATCTGGCTAATTTTTGGATGTTGTTGCAAACCAACAGCAAAACAAACAAACAAACAAACAAAAAACAAATGGACTTGGGAAATACATTCCTTCCAAACCTGACCTTTATTGTGAGAAAGGCATTGGAAAATTTCATTATATTTGAGATGGTACAAGAATAGAATATTCCAATTAAAGAGAAGTGTATGAATTATTTCATGGCAAGATTGTGTCCTGTCCTGATGGTTGCATGTGGAGGGAAGTAGGAAGATTTAAAGAACCTTCCTAAGCATATTGACCTAAATGGGTGAAAAGGAGTTACAGCCATAGACAAAGTAAATAGGTACTGCATATTATTTACCTTTTTTTATAAGAACTAAAAAAAAATTATCCTGCCCCAGGGATGTATATATCTGTGCTTAGAAAACTACCCACATGGTGCTTCCATGTGAAGACATAAGGGCAAAAGTGGAGACAGACTGAAACCTAGGGTTATCATTGAAAAAGTCTAAAAAAAGGGATCACATGGATGCTGAGAGATCCCACAAAACTATATGATATCATAAAGACTATACATTTTCTTCTCTGCTGTGTTTCTACAAGGTAATACTACAGGACATATAGTTGAACATAAATCATGAGCACATGAGCAGAACATAAATCATTTACTTTGATAAAATAAAAAAAGAAAGAAATCCTAAATAAAAAGAGAGGAAGATATAAGACAGCCATCAGAATCCAAACTTACAGGAGGGCAACAGTGTGTACTTTTAAGGCCTTAGATGTGTACGAGTGGGATTTTCAAAACCATTAAGGAGATTTTGAACTCTTAGTTCCTATGTTTTGAATAGGAAGTGGACAACCAAATTATTTAGGCAGTTTTGAACATCCCTCCCCCTAGATTTATATCTGTGCTGTTTTTGCAGTTGTTCTATTAACCCTTAAAATGCTTTTTTCCTCATCTAATACAGGATATAAGACCATGACTAAATAAATTAGTGAGGATTCTCCATCTTTGATGTCCTCAAATCAAGAGTGAATGCCTGTCTGGAGGATGGGCGTTAGCCAAACAGTGGTGATTGGACTCAGTATATGGGTAACTATCTGAAATAATTGCCTGAGGTGTATAGGAGGTCAGACTAACACCCTGACTTAACAGTCCATTCTGGTCTTTAACTCTATGAATCTATGAACTTCCACTTAACTTTTCCTTATCTGTCTACAAGTATCATGAACGTGATATTGAACATTGGTGGTCGCACAAGTGATGTGAAAAATATTTGTTAAAATAAGCAGACTATTCAAGCTTTGTTCTAGTATCAGGGTAAAGAGATCTTTTGACTCGGTGCCAAGGAAATAAAATATGTTTGTCTATTATACAGAAAGCAATATATAAAGCTTTTGATACAATACAATCATGGTGAAATGATTTTTGAGCCTGTGTAGGAGAGGTAATGGATTTTGAAGCCGAGTAATCAAGGTAAAGAGAATTTCAAGCTTGTGGAAATGAAGTAATTTTACAGATAATGTAAGCTGAATGTTGGAATTATAAGTTTTATAGAAAGTCATGCAGTTTTAAGTTTTACAGTAATGCAAGTAGTTTAAAAGTACTATAAACAATGCAGTGTAGATTTTTGTACTGTACATAAAGTTAAATGTTCTTTGAGTCCAAGGAAAAGGACTTCATGATATTCCCCCTCTCTCCCACTGCATTTAATTGCATCAATACGATGACTTATCCCAATCATAATGTAAATAGAATTGAAATAATCATTCAACTAGAATCTGGTTTTATTGGTTGCAGAGTAGTTAGGACAGACACACCCCTTACATTTTCTAAAATATTTAAATAGTAAATAATAACAGTATACAATTGAGATTAATTTTAGTTGGGCTTTCCAAAAGCGTGATTCCTTTATTTTAAGTGTTATGAGTGTAAAACAAAATGAATTAAGCATGTGCCTTGAACATAATATTATATGTTATTTTAAGATACAAAGCATGGCCATTTATAATTAAACCTACATCCTAGGTGATGACAAAAAAGTATTATGTATGATTTCAGTGATGATATCATATATAGCAGAATCATTCCCATACCTCTTTGTCTTTTCCATTTAATTATTTTAAGGAAAAATTTTTTGCTTTCCTGATTTTGAGTTTAAATTGAAACCCTTAATCTTATTTTAAAACTTTATCCCTGGCTGACTGGAGCTCAGTTTTGGACCCCCAAAGAAGATTTGGCACAGGTTTAAGCTGCAGTATTTTCTGAAGGGGGTAGGCATGTGTTCCAGACTTGGATTTTATCAACACATTTTTACAAGTAGGTCAGAGAAAGCAACAAAATTAGGTGCTGTCAGTCATAAGTACTGATTCATCTTTAATGCAATGTAAGATTATTTTACTATTAGGATCAATAAAAATATCACTTTTTGTGGGAAATAGGATAGAGTAATTGCACTGAACTTCCTGGGCTTTTAAAACCAATCATTATATATAATTTTTCACCCAATATGTTTATATAGCTGCCTTTTTCCTGGAAAAAACTACTGGATCATGAAAAGAAAAGGAGAAAAAGACCCTCCCCCTGCCAAAAAAAACAAAAACAAACCCTTGTCCCTAAACACCCTTCATCAAAAGTAGCCAAACAAACTTCTACCATGGGAATTATAAATTGAACTTAAAGTATGAATGCCAGTTCCATCAGGAACTAGATACCGTATCTACGTGCTAAGGCGTGAATATTAATGTGCCCTGTGAATGATTCCATTACTTGCTTTACAAAGAAAGGTTAGGCTTTCATTCATACAGCATATAAGTGATTCTTTTTTCTCCAAGTAGTCACAGTACATTAATTGGTTTGATTACCTTACTTGGACATTATTTGGTTGCTCCTGACCTCTCATGATGAGAATCTACCAAAGGATGGTGCTTCCCTTATTGATGCATTCATATATAATAGGCCTGTGTGAACAGAGAAGTATTCAATTTGGATTCAGATTCAGCTGATTTGGAGGATAGTGATTCAATTCAGACATTTGGATCACTGTCCTGAATTGATTCGGCCAAATCAGCTTCAGAAGATTAGGTGCTGATTACTGATTCAGATCAGCCAGGGAGGGGCAGGCACAGCCGGGCAGCTGCAGGTTTTCCTGCTTCTCCTCCAGCTGTGCCTGCCTCTCTCCAGGTGGGGGGTGCTATAGAAGTCCCCATGGCTGCTCTGCCTGGCCCCATCCCCTGCCCAGCCCCAGCAGTCTGGGAATAAAAAACAAAGAAACAAAAAACCAAACTGCACTCACCGGCATTAGCAGGGCTCTGGGGCCATGTGGCAGAGGCCCTCCACACAGCCCCCACTCCTCAACCACGCCCCCCAACCCGACCTCACCCTTGATGGCTGCCTCGACCAGCCTCAGCATCCTTGCAGTTAAAAAATAAATAAAATAAAAAAGCCCCACACTCACCAGCTGCAGCAGTAGTGATTGAAGCATCTGGGTGCTCATGGCAGAGCCCCTCCATGCAGCATGGGGCAGCGGGGGGTAGCAGGGATCTTCCCCCACACTTGGCAACCATGTAGCGGCTGCCCCATGGTGCAGGTGCAGTGCGGCTTGGAAGGGTGCCACACATTGCCTGGAAGCTGGGGCTGCTGGGACTGAGTGCTACTAGGCTCTGGCTGACATGTGGAGACACCCCAGATCCCAGACAGCACATGATGCCAAGCTGAGCCACACTGCACATGTGCCATGGGGCAGCTGCTATGTGGGTGCCAGGTGGGGGAGGGTGATTCCTGCTTCCCCCACTACCCTGTGCTGCACAGGGAGGCTCTGCCATAAGTCCCCAATGGCCACTCCCAGACCAAGTGAGTGTGGGGTAATTTTTTTTTTTTTTTTAAGTACTGGAAGTTAGGGCCAGGTGGGAGATGGGGTTGGACAGGGCAGCCATGGGGGCTTCCCCTGAGGCTACTCCAGCTGTGCCTGCCTCTGTCCTGGTGGGGGGAAAAGCAAGGGCTATGCCTGCTGCTGCTTGCCCTGCCAGTGGGGGGTGTAGTTCAGGCACCGCTCACTCCAGGAGGCAGCAGGGCATAGCCCCCCTCCCAGCACTGCAGCATTCGCATCATTACTGGGAGCAGGGGCTCTGTCCTACTGCTGCTTGCCAGCTGTCACAGCAAGCCTGGGATGCAGGTGCGGCAACACTGGGAACAGGGGCTACGCCCTGCTGCCACTTGCTGTCTTCTGCCTGGAGCAAGCCATCCCCCCCCCGCCCCATCTGGGTAAGCGGCAGCAGGGTAGAGCTCCTGCTCCCAGCACTTCCACGCCTTCATCCCATGTCCCCCTCCCTGAGAAACAGCCCCCCCCAGCTGGGCAGCTTGTCCCAGTCCCAGCCTGAACCCCTCGCTACCCCCAACCCCAACAGACTTACCAGCTGGAGGCAACTGTCAGCTGCCTGTTTAGTCTATGGCCGAATCTCTGAATTGGCTGAATCTTTTCAGAAGCTTTTCAAATCAATTTGGATGCTTCAAATTGATTCAGAGCTTTTAACTTGGTCTCCCAATTCGATTTGGATTCGGAGAGTCAGTCCAGAAATTGGACCAAATCTCCTCTGATTCGAATCAGCCACTGAAGCCTCGCACAGCCCTAATACATAAGTAAATACAACTTATTTACTGTGCACTTCCACATTTTAACTTGTAGCACAAGTTATCTGTTTATACCAGTATGCATGCATTTGCCATAATTGAGAATCTATGCAAGGTCCAGAATTTCACTTTACTTTCACATAGTATGTATATCTGTATATGCATGCACATATGTATCTAATGACTTTACTTTTTATGCAAAAAAAAAAAAGTTCTTAAAGAGCAGTATTAGGGTTGCAAAGTCAAACATTCAGAAGTTACAAAATGCCAGAACTGATGTTTTCTGTGCAAGTTTAATTCCACCCCTCCATGAATATTCATTTTGAAACAGGTTTTCATTATGACATCTCATATTGTTCTTGCCACTGAGCCCATGCCTTTTTCACTGTTCAGAAACAGCTTCCTTTGGCAAGGATTTAGAGCTGTGTAGGACCTTTTTCGTCCTGTACAAAATGTTTGCCTTATAGGTGATACAACTTGGAAGGTGTGTAGTGAGAGAAAAGACTGCAGAAATAAAAAGACAGTCCTATAGTGTACGCTGGTGAATTGGATTTTATTCCCGATTGTTTCAGTTCCTGCATAATGCTAGGGAAGTCAATTAGCCACATCTTTCACAGATGTTCATTAATTATGCCTTCCTCATCTTTAGGATGCCCAGCTGAGTTGAAATTAAGGTTGTGTAAAAATGTTTGGGGAGGTTAGGGGGAAGTTAGATCCTGTTAAAAATGGCCACCCAATACAACTTAGTTTCCCCATGTGCAGATCTTACACTAGTTAAGTCAATCTACATGTGAACTGTACAGAAGTTCAGGGCAGTTAAATCAGTCTAAAAATGGCCAATCTGATATAAGTTAACCTCCAAGGTACATTTAATTTAGATTGGGTTGTCTATTTTTAGATTGATCTAACTGTTCTGACCTTCTGTACTGTTCCTAGTGCAGCACCAGGGCTGGAAAACCCCAGCTACTGGCTCCAGACCCCAGGCTATGCTTTCCATACCCCCTCCATGGCACTAGAATATTTTTAGCTGCCCTGCCTCACCCCGCCCCCAGATAGACAAACCCCACCACAAACTATCCAGCCCCCCAGGTGACAAAACCCCGCATGCCACAAACTGTTCCTGGTCCTATTTTATCACTGTTTGCTAATGCCAGGTGCTAAGAAAGTAAGTCCTGGTAGGGGGAGGGATGGGAGGGTCCATTCACTGTGTTAGGTTCACTGTAGGGGGTTGTATGTCTGGTAGTAGTGGGTCGGGGGCTAAAAGTCCCTGGTCCTGGGGGCGTGTGGAAGAAAGGACCCCCTCCCCCCAAGTTCCTCCCCATGGACCTCTGAAACCCTCCCCCAATCCTACCAAACCCTCCCAGACCCTAGCAACCCCATGCAGAAACCACCTGCCCCCCTAGTCTCCCCCAATCCTTCCCACAGGCCCCACTTCCTCAATTCCCCTGATCCCTTCTGTGGACCCTGCTTGCCACCCCAGTCTCCGCAACCTCCCAATTACCCCCCCACCACACACACACCCAACCTGACTTATCTTAAATTGGATGGATATTTTTAACTCAATCTAACCTCCCCCAGCCTCTCCAAATGTCTGTAGGCAGCTTTATAAACATGATGCCTTCACAATAGAGCTCAATTCATATTGGCAGTGGTGCACTTTGAACTAACACATGTTCAATGTGCTTTAGTTCAAAGCTCACTACCACCATTTTCACAGCACAGAGGTGTACTGCACCACTGATACATAGGTGTCTGATGTGGCACTGGGTGCTTTTAATTGACACAGCTCACTAATAGCGTTCAGTGCTGCATTAGAATCACGTGTAAAATTCCAAGAAAACTGTGTACTTGTTTCTGTTTCCAGAACTGCCCATGTATGCTACATTAAACTCACTGGGTAAAAAAAAGCACAAATAATGCTGGAATCAAGGACCAAAATACAAAGAAATTTAGTGTATTTTCACAAGAAAAGCAATCTTTGACTTAAAGGCTAAAATCTTCTATATTTTAAATTCTAGTTTTGAAGCACAGAGAAGATGGAGCTTATCAAAGAAACAGTCTACACAATTTTTATCAACATAACACATTTTCCTTAGCATTTTTTTTGCAGAAGCAGCTGAAATGATTGCCAGGGATTTAAAAAAAATCAGTCTCATACAAGCACTTCACATGCAAAATTTAGTTCAAGTGGTTAATATCTGGAAAATGTCTTGGACAACCTAGGCATCGTCAGTAACAGGTGGTAAACCCTCCTTTACTGTCAAAATGTATTTGTGCATGTATGTGTATGATCTAATGTAAAAGGTTTAGTGCTGATGTGACAAGGTTTCCATATCAGGTTGCCACTGGGCTCTGATCACCTCATCCTCACTTCTGGGTTTTCTGGATCCTACCCACTCACAGTTATGTTACCTGCCAAGGCTTGATGTTATATGTTCATAGGGAGGCTGTCCCAGGAGGCAGATTCAGGTTTTCGGGTAGGTCCTTGTATGAACTCAGGACCTCACTTTTAATCTAACTGGGTCTTGCAGCCCAGGGTCCACATCAGAAGCCTAGGTTCCTGGGCCCCAGCTCCAGTTCAGCCCTCTGGGGCCTCTGGGCCACTTGGCCCCTAGGTATGCCCCCTTTGCAGGCATGGGGTTTATACTCCCCCCACCACCAGTCTTTGCTGCCATATACTAAGTCCTCTGACATGTCACAGTTCTCCCTTTTGAAAAGTATTTGGGCTACTGCCCACATGTAACATCCCAAGTTTCTGGCCCCTAGGAGTGCTTTAAACTGGGTGCCTCTGCTGCACTTCAGTCTGTACTTTTCAGTCACCACAGTGCTCCAGTTCAAACATAAATTGAAGGTATGAGCATCCGCTCCCAAACATAAGGCCTGCCAAACATCAGGCTGGGGTAGCACAAATGCAAAAGGTTTGAAGTACTTATCCTGTGTTGCTCACAGCACAGGGTCTTTTCCACTCTTCTGTGGCACACAGTTCTTTTCTCCAGACAGTCCAGACTGGCTCCTCCTTGTGGAGATCTACCTCCCATGGCTCCTACAGCCAGGTTGCCTCTTCTGGGCTAAACCCTGGGCTTTGGAGCCTCTCCTTAGGTCACCTGACCCTCTACTTCTGTCTCAGGCCTCCCAATCACTCTATGTGATCTGGTATAATTAGTACTACTTAATTTTATCATACCACTTAGATGCCCGACCCATAGACTAGGACTCCACTGTTCTAGATGCTGTAGAAAAGCAGGACAGAAGATGCCTCCTACCCTAAAGAATTTGCAGTTTGAATATGAATCAAGAGCCAATATACAATACAGAAAGATGTGGGGATACTAGGAAACAGTGAGATACAATTGGTCAGCAAGATAAAGTGACTGTTGCACACCCACAGCTTAACTATTATTAAGATTTTCAAAGGCATCACAGTAAAACAAGTTTCAAGGAGATGATGGCAGTAGACTCACTTTCACTGTCTTTTTTAGCAGTGGCTTGGAAAGAATCTTTACCTTTATGGCACTATCCACAAGTGAAAAGAAGGAAAGGTCCCATGGTTATACTTACAAGCAATAGGCTTGGTTATTGTCTGTAAACCCCTACCCTCCACGGTGGGGCATGACCAGCATTACTACATTTTGTAATATAATGTGTGCTTGCTCTGTAGCAATCAATTGCTCTCCATGTGAAAATTTTACTCATTTCTGAACCTATGAATATGTTTACACATGCTCAGTAGAGACATTAAAACAGCTACATTCTCCAATGATTCCATGTGTGCAGAGCATTATCCATCACCTAAAAGCTCCTAGCCAAATTGTTAACTTTAGTCTAATTGGAAATGGGTGCTAGCAGCAAACTACAATAGAGACAGCCTTTTTTCCATATGGAAAAACTGTATGAGTGGTAGGCATTTTAGTTCAGAGAAGCCTAATTTTAACATTTGAGTATAATGAGAGAGATTCTGTGGCCAAGAAGAAATCTTGGATTCTAAATAAGCATATAGATATTTTTAATATTATTTTCAGGGTGTTCCCTCCAGCCCCCCACCCAAATTTCAGTATAGGTTTGACTCAAGGTTTTCATGAAAAATTCTTGTCACTTATTTGTTCTACTCTTTCACCATTGTTGATTTTCCTTCCTCCAGCACACTTTGAAAAGAATTATGTCTTGTTTATGCAGCACTAGTGGTGTGTGAGGCACTGAATAGACAAATACGGAGACAAGATCTCTTTACTGTGAATTTTATAGCTGAAGAGCCCTCTTGTGTTCAGATATATAGAAGTTTATTACTGACTTCAAACACGTGAAGGACTAAGCCATAAAATTACAAGAACTGACACATCTTGCACAGTATTTCACCTTCTTTTTGTGCAATCCATAGAATGTAAAGGACAGATTCTGATTCTTTTATTCAAGCTGAGTAGCAACCTCCTCCCTCAAAGTCCAGTGGGATTGGAACCAAATAGGGAAATATAATCTTACACTAAGTATTATTTAAGCCTTGCATCTCAATGTTCTTTCATTTTTCATGACCTTTAATTTTGCATAATTGATACAGCTCAATCCATTGTCCACCCATTCCAGTTTCTATTAGGTCACAGGCTGCAAAACTTCCTAACCTTTCTCACTTCAAACCAAAAGCCACAGGAAGCAAAGCTTTGCCCCGGAATAAGTAATCTGTGCACACCAGCCCTTCTCAAGTAATAATTTGTTGCTAAATGACTTCTTAGAATCAATAATTAGTCAAAACAGAGAAAAATCAACAACGGAAAATAGGAAATAGCAAAGGGGAGGGGGGAGATTATAAAAATAATTTAACTACTACTCATTATTTACAAACTTCATTTAAACTTCCCAAGAGTTGTATGTGTCTTCCTCAGAAGAATGGGTGCCTATACATGAGTAGTGACAGCGCATCCGAGTAGACTCAATTAGTCAAATCTACTAGAGCATGATAATTACTGTGCTCCAGCAATCTCCAGGATCTCATGTATCAGTGTCTCTGAGCTTAAAAATGGCTATAATTAAAGCCGTCCCCACCTCCTAGAGCATGCATATAAATGCCCAGTATGGCCAACTCTGTATTAGATCTTTCTCTCCTCTGAATACTTCCTATATTTATCCTTAATATTGCTTATATATTGGTACAGAATGTGGATGCTATATACTGAAGCATGTGAAGATGAACCAAGGAGGTAATTTTTTCAGATATTTTTTGTTTTTAAGTAACACTACTCTCTCAATTCCTTATTTATGGAATATACCTTATTATAAAGCTTTAAATCAAACACTTTATCTGCTTTGACTTACCCATATGTTTAAGCTTATTTCCTAAACCAATGCCCATAACAGCCTCTGGTTTTCTAGGCTATTCAAAAAGTCTAGAGTCTTACAACACACTTCCAAAAACTTTTCTTTTCACAATAGTCAGTGTCATAGTCATTGAAATCTTTAATGATTTGCATGCCATGCTTTGTTAAAGACGTTTCTCATATACATAAATTATGTCCTGTCTTTTACTTTCAGGAATGGAGGAGATCTATAATAGTTAGCTTTCTTGTATATAGTGGCAAATTAGCCATGGATACCTTTATCCTTTGTGGCTCTGAACTATCTTTTAACAGGACTGGCAACAGTGCTGGGCAAAGACCAAGGTGCTGAAGCACCTCTGGTGCAAGAGGATCTAAGATGCTAATCATACACCCAGTGCCCACAAGCTCACAAGTTCCTGTTACATGAAGTTCTTCTGAGCAACCTGGATGCCGTGGACACTGCTCATCTCTTGCAGGATGGAAAAAAAATATGCTACTGTGCTGGTGGAGGCCCACACAGAGCCATCCCAGCCAAATCTCAAGCTGTAACAGGAAATGACACAGGCCGAGGACTTCTCTCCTCTCTTGGATTGCAAGGAAGCAGAGCTCTTTTGTCCTCTGCCTCTTGACAGTGAGATGGACCTGGAGACACATAAGGAGCTGTTCTAAAGTGTCTGGGGGCCTATGCCCCCAAGGTCTTGCCTGCCCATTGTTCTTTGAGCCAGCCTCCCCAAAACCCTCAGGCTCCCAGCCAACAACCTCCCACACAATCTCTCTGTCACTTCTCACTGTGCTATGGGTGAAGCTGCCCACATTGCAATCTCAGTGACCCAGTTAGTTTGATGTAACCCACAAATATTCTGCCTCTCCTTCTTCTAGTAAGCTTGAGTTTACCATCTCAGTAACCAGGAGGCAGGGAAATGTGGGACATTATTGGTGGGAACCCCTACACTGTGCCTCAGTTTTCCCCACTACTGAATCAAGTGACTGTAAGGATCAGGGGTGGAGTTTGAGATGGCAATGCTTCCAGAGTTTGCGCCTGGATTCAAAGTAGAAACCAACTGTCTCATCAATGGAGGCCCAGGAACTTCCGCCCTCCCCAGTGCTTCATTTCATTCTTGGTGTGTAGGGCAAAGTCCACTTCAAGTGAATCAGAAAATAAAGGTACTCTTTGGAGGTATGTCTGTAATGGCACAAGGAAATAGTGCTATCGTAATGTGGATCCCTTGCAGTTCTTCTTTACTTGAGGAATACTAATGATAATCACCCACTTGACACTTAATTCAGCCATTGAATTAACAGGTCAATGGAGGAAGCCTAAATAGCAATCCCTTAGAGCTCAGTTTGGCCACATACTCACACACTCTGAATTTGAGACAAGGCTCTGGATATAGCTATGGCCAAGTAGCAATAGGGCTGGACAACCTCCTTGACCTCCATCATTGGAATATACTCACCAGTTGAGCCCTGTATTCCTAGGGCTGGTGGCTATGAGAAGCTCAACCCTAGCTCTTCCCATTTTCCATCCTTAATGTATTAAAACTGTTGCTAGGACCATGACACAAAGGTAAATGACCCATTAGGAATGATAGGCTTTTTTTTGTGTGTAAGGCCCACAGAGGAACAATGCACAACTGAAGGTAGCATGAGTTAGTACACTCATTATGTCTTGTCCTATGGCAAACAGTGAGGGGTCTCCTAAACATGCTCCCCTTTCCCCTCCCCATAGCTATTAGGAGGGAATAGGCTTCCACAAAGTACTGCTCTAAGCAGTACTTAGAATCTCAGTTACCTATTGTCAGAAAGTTTTTTTTAAAGTACATTGTTTAACATTTTCCATGAGACTACATTTTTTCCTTGTGGCAAAACAAATATTTGTTTGGTAAAATCAAAACAGTTTAACTTAAAAATGTTCTAGTCAACTTTTTTAATCATTTTCCCTTCCCCATCCCTAAAAATTAGATGAGTTTTCATCAAAGGTGTGTTTAAAAATTAAAAACCTATCCAACTTTGCTTGCTTTCATCCTTTTCTCCTTCACCTGCTACACAGAGATTTGCAGCAGAGGTAAGTGGCTTTCAGGTACAGTTTGAACGAAAATATGGAAGTCTTCCTAGCCACTGTGAGGCATGCTGGAATGTGGCAGAGAAGCAACACATGCTACTGCCCACCAAATGATGTTTGGAAGTGGCATGACTATCTTTGCTGGTACCATGACTTTTTGATCTAAGTTAAACTCTGTGACAATTTGGTCTGCTGCAAATGCTATCTTTGTTTATATCTTTAATTTCAAAATGTTGTATTGGAGGTGAGTCTACACATGCATTTACTCTGATCTAGATTTACTGTGCAGTAAGATAATGCACAGTGGGCACATCTACACATGTGCATTTACTGAGCCTTAATTGTAATTAATGCACAGTAAAGGCATGTATCTACATGTGCATGCCTGTACTGCACAGTAAATACGGTGACTTACTCCAACTTGAGCATTGTGCAGGTATTAAATTTATGCCTAATTAGTTATGGCACAGTAATGCATGTGTAGATGTCTTACTGCACAGTAATACTGTATGTGTGGATTGACTTGGAACTAATTTCAATCCCAAATCAGTCTACACACAGCATTAATGCACTTTAATGCCTGCATTTGTAGATGCCAGCCTATTTCCACTTACTGTGCAGTAATTTACTGTGCAGTAAATTTCAGCTGGCATAAATGCACTTGCAGACATACCCAATAAGGGTTTTTGGGTAGGTGCCTACACATATGAGGTTTAGGGAGAAAATTTCCTCACAGTTCCCTGCAGCCCTGCAATGCACCCCTGAGGCCACCAGAGGTCACTCTAGGCTCCTCCTAAGTACTAGCCAAGAAACTGGCAGGGAGCACTGGGCCAGGAATCAGCTGATAAGGCTTGGAAAGAGCTGTAGGGGATGGGCAAGTCCCAGTCCCTTGTCCCGATCTGCTGGAGGGGCAGATATCAGGTAGCTTGCTGCTAACTGCCCCACCAGTGGATTGGGGAAGGAGGCTTGGACCTGCCCCTGACTGTGACAGTTCCCAGCCAGTCCCAGGCTGCATGGGGAAGTCTGGATGTGCAGCCTGGAGCCAGCTGAGGACTGCTTGAAACAGTACTGCCCAGCCATCTCCAGGCTATATGTGCTTCCCTGTGCAAACTGGGGTTGGCTGAGACCTGTTCCATTCAGGGGCAGGCCCCAGCCTTCTCCAGATTGGGCAGGGAGCTGTCCCCATGCAGCGAGCTCCCAGGCCCTGCTCCACAATTGCAGTTGTGATCACAGAGTGGGGGCCGGGGAGCTTGTTCTACACCCAGCTCCATGAGTGCAGAGCTGTGGGAGGAAGAGGCTTGGGAGTTTGTTCCCCCCCAGCTCCACACTCACAGTTCCACACTCACAGAGCTGGGAGGGGAACAAGTTCCCCAGCACCCACCAACAGGAAGCTCCCAGCCTGAACCCCAGGGTCATGATTTCCCAGCCCCTGTTCTGTGATTGTGATTTGAGGGCAGGGGCTTGAATCTCCCTGCTGCCAGGGAAAGAGGGGCATAGTTCTCCTCCGAGCTCCTGTGGCAGAGCTCGCCCTGGCAGCAGGCAGCTTGTGAGGGCAGGAAGCTATCTCCTGTCTCCTGGTGGATGGTCAATCAGGAGCAGATTTGGCCTCTGGCCAGGCATCTGTTACTAATGCCAAGTAAATTTGCTACTTGCATTTCCAGGAAGCAAACATACTCAGGATAAGGGAGGTTTACTGTGAAGAAAGCATATGCACATGTAGATGCACATGCTTACTTCACAGTAAACTATGCTAACTCACTGTTAAGCATCTCATGTAGACATGCCCTGCAAATCTTTGCTTTAAACTACAATTCTGACCAGCTTGGTAGCTATGAGTCAATGTCATGATTTAAGCAGCTACCTGCATGGACATTATTAGAAACTTAGGGACTTAGGGGTACTTTTACACATGCTCAAGAGGGGAGGGAGGGGGTGGCTTAATTACAGCAGTTCCGAGAGCTGCTAATTAAAGTGCCACCGCATCTTATGTATCAGCATTGCCACACTTCAAAATGGTGGCAGGGGTGCTAGAACTAAAGCCCGTTTGACTGGAGTGTGGTAATTACCATGCTCCAGCAGGCTTGATTAATCAAATCTGCTCCAATGTGCTATAATTAGAGACAGCTCTTATATGGCATTTCTGCCATCACATCAGTGCCTTTCTTGGACTGGGAGGGAGGGAGTGGTGTTGAGAAAGGGGGATTTTTTATTGTTTCTGCTGGACTGTAACTCCAGTGGTTCTCAGAGATAGCTGTATGTTAACTCTTGTCCCTGCAACCTCAATGTCCTCTGCAATATGGTGATGCCAACCAGAGCAACCAGAGGGTGGCTGTACACCCTCCTGTTCTCCTTTCCTTTCCCCTCTTCCCCCAGAAACTCCCTGTTTCCCACAGGGCCTGGATCCCTGTTATGACTGTATGGAGTGGGGGCAAACCATAACTTCCTGGGCTACATGGCATCCTTGATTAGGGCATGAGTCATAAGCAGAACTCTTCAGGTTGTGCTGCAGCAGCAGCCGCTGTGCCAGTTTGGGGGGTGAGGGGAGTTGCTCTGCATATCTGGGAGGGGGGAACTGAGGTATCAGAGGAGTCAGTCTGGAACACTGATGGAAGCTGTGTGAGGAACCATGTCTTGGGGTCTGTATGCTCAGCCATGGTCCACAGTATCAAGGACAAGGGCTTGGGGGAGCTACCTGTGGTGGAGGGCACAGGCTTAGACTCCAGGTCTTGGCCCCCAACTTTAGTGGCATCAGAGCTTTCCCCTTACTCCTGCATGCTGTGCTCCCTGCTCTTGGCCATGCCTAAGAAGATGTCATGGGTTGCTCAGGTCCAGCTGCAGGTACACCTTAGCTCCCAAATCTTGTAATGATGCAGGCACCAGCACCAATGGGACTGACTACTCATGGACCAGCTCCAGAAGCTGTCCTCTTGCCCTCTGGTCCCTGGTCACCTGCTCCTAGTCACCAGTTGTCCATTGTCCCGGGCTCTCCCTGCTTCTTCTCTAGACCTGCTAATGACTCTTCCTGCCCTCTCATGGTAGCTTAGGTGTGTAACGTCTGAATGGCCCTGTCCTTGGTGAGGAAGTGTTATAGCTCCTCATAGAAAGGCATGGTTTGCCTCCTGGGACCCAGACCTTTTGCTGGCATCATGCATAAACCTATATCCATTTAGTCTTGGTGTGACACTGCTCCCAGTCCTTTTTGTGGCTACACATATGCATCTACTGGTTGATTTGCTTAAAGACATTCCTGTTCTAGTGCCTTTTCTGGAGCTAGTGCTAGGTCTCCTTCTTATCCCAGATGGCAAGATCCCTCATCTTCCTGTAGTCCCAGTTGTGTAACAGGAGGTTAGTTAGTGCAGGATAATGTCAAGGGGTCATACACGGTTTGTGATGGTGCCCATGGGTCTTCCATGGTCTGTTGTGGTGCTCATGGGCTGGAAGGCTGGATGGAAGACTGGAAGGGTGGATGGACAGAAGGAGAGAAGGCGTGAAAGTGCAAGTCCCAGCAAATGACTCTCCTTCTAACTGCAGCTGGGTGTGGCCCCTGCTCCAGAGTGATGAGGGCTCCATTGGTCAGGTCACCTCCCACAACCTCAAGTTTTCCAGGGGCTTCCAGCAGACACCCTATGATTCTGGCAACACCTTATGCCCCTGCCTGGAAACTTCCAGTGTCCTTGGCCTGTAGTTCAGAGGCAGGTAGCCACACCCCACCTGTTTTTGAAGTTTCCAAGGGAATCTTCCTGCTTGCTCTGGTTTGGATGTGCAGTGTCTCCCCACCCACCACTCTCTCAGCCTTAGAACACTAGGAACCTTTAGTGTTGGGCCAAAAAATCCTTGCAGCACTCCAGGTGCACATGATCCAGGTACCTGCTACAGTGGTCAAGCTAAGGGAAGCCACAGGGTTGTCTCCATGCAGGACCAGTCCTGATGTTCCCCATAGGCCCCATCATGGACACTCCCCCACTGAGCAGAAGCCAGTGTGGGAGGCTCATCTGTGGTGGGTCATGGTGGCAGGGTGCCTGGCTCTGGCCATAGAGATGTAGAGCATGGGAACCAGGGTCAGTGTCCATGGGGCTATGCCTGCATACAGGGACATGGAGGCCCCTGGATGGGTGTGTGTGAGCAAGGAATGGGGTCTGTGGGGTTGTGTCCATGCATGGGGGGAATGGGGATCCTTTACTGGACGTGTAGGAGCCAGGGTCAGAGTCCACGGGGTTGCACCAATGTGTGGGGACATTGGAGTCTGTAACTGGGTATGTAGGAGCCAGCACTGGGGGTCCATGGGGCTGTGCCTAAGCACAGGGGCAGAGGAGGTCCTTAGCTGGGTATGCAAGAGCCAGCAAGGTTCTTGGGGCTGTGCCTGAATGTGGAGTTCTCCCGGGCTCAGTGTCAGTTCTGTATGTACATTGTGAGGTACTTTGTGATGGGGTGTTGGGGCACAGGATACAGACTCACATATCCAGGTCCTGGGGCTTGTGCAGGGGACACGCATGCCTCTCTTCTGTCCTTTGCCTGCCTGTGGCTGACAGATGGCCGAAGGCAGGAGGCATGGCTGGAGAGAGGGTCTGTGTTCTCTTAGCTATGGGAGAGCTCAGGGTGAGGGCCCATGGGGCAATTAGCTGGAACTACTGAGCATAAGTTGAGTGCTAGCATGCCTCCCTGCAAGGGGAGGGATTGTGGGGGGCCAGAAAGGAGGCCCAGATGCCAGAGGATAGTAATCTAACTTGAACTGACAGGTGATCTGGTACAGAAGTTCAATTCACCAGTCTAACCTAAATCAATTAGAATTGAGTGTACGTTGAACCAGGTCTTAAGCCATTTTTAGACTGGTCAATGTGCACTGGATTTTGTATGGTTACAGGTTTAGATAGTTTTACAATCACATTAGATTGGTTTATGTGTAGTAGCTGCACCTGGCCCTCAAGTTCAATGAAGGCAATTTTCATTGCCTTTTTAGACTTCCATTGTGTTTCTTCCTCCACATCCAGAGCAGACAGTACAAAAATTATTTCCCTAGAAAAAAGGGTGTGACTGTATGGAACTCAGGTGGAGATAAGCAGAGCAAGAAGGCATATAGTCATGTTTCACATTAGCATCACATTTTAAGGCAACCTAGCAGGCAATTAGATTACTAATCCACCATTCCAGGTCCCAAGTGCACAATGCTTTAGGCATGTAATATGAGATTTAGACAGGTTTTAGGTGCCTACATCCAAATTTTCTGTGCTTAAGACCCCTGTGCAACTGCCACCTAACTGTCGAGATGCTTAAAGTCCTTAGTTGGCTGCACTATTTTCATTACATTTCCTGACATGTACCTTTTTTCACCCTTAAGTAAGGTTCCCAATCCCTAGAAATGAATCAGATTTACACTTCATCCTCAACATTAATTAGTTTAGTAAACTCTCTGCTCTGTGCACTAGATTTTGCAGATCTGTTTGATATTGCTTCCTTTCCCCTTTGCTTCATTGTGGGAACCTAAGGGCCCTGCTGGCAGGCCAGTTTTCTAAATACCTTGTGGATCTGGATCCAATTTCTCAGGGAAAGTTCTGTGGACAACTGGCTACTCCATCTTGAATACCAGGATCTAGTAACTTCTCCTTGGTTACTTTAGCAAACTCATTTGTTTATCTTTTTGCTGAAGAAACACTAAAGCTCATTTCATGTAGTGAAACGTGATTATAGTATTCCAAATCATGTGAAAATCATTCTACCCACTTGCTCACAGCTATAGACGATCTTATGGGAAGAAATAGAGGACACTTGCATAATTGTGCGTTTTCCAACCACATGGACAGAACTCTGAATTAAGGTTTCATCTTAAATAAGCTGAAAATAGGTGAGCTGAACCACTCAAGTATTCTATTCTTCCTAAATTTGTTGAGAAGCTCTAGCAGTGGGAGAACAAGCAGCCACAAGAATGGCACAGGACAGAACACCAGGCCTCAGGAAGCTGAAGCTGTTGTTACCAGCTGGTGAAGAGGGAGATAGGATGCTATTGTGAAAGGATTGTCCCAGAACCTCAGATGTTATTACTCTGCTCCATAAAAGACAGAAACTTTGAAGTTATGTTTCTGCGGCTCTTTTCAGTTTAGCTTCACTATTTAAAAGTATATAGTTGCCCGGCAAATGTAATCCAAATTTAATCATGTCTTTCAAGTGCTCCTTCATGACCAACCAGAAACTCTGATGAAACTATTTACAGTAAGTTCATAAATTACTGTATGGTTATTACTGAGATAACCAGTAATAACCAAATACACACATTAAATAGCTGCAGCTGCTTTCTTAATTGACAGGTAGAATTTCCAGTCAATTGATAAGGTAGAATTTCTGGCTGGAAATGTATTCTGAACTGAACTGAACTTCTATACAAAGTTTTTTAAGGGTTCCATCTAAGCCTAGTTGC